AGTGAAAACCAAGCTTCAGCGTGTCTACGAAAGAAATTAGCATGGCCTCAGTTGTGAATGACTCCAAATACCAGCTAGATCGCCTCAGCGGACAACACTTGGAAAACAATGAAACGAATAGAAAACCTGCTCCTCGCACAAGCACAAGAAATTAGGCCGGGTTATTTACGAACCTAAGCAAAGAATCTAGATAACAGTATGGTTTGTGTAACCACTATGGAACGCTTGAAAGAAAAGAACTAATGGAGATTTGTTTTGTTCAAGCTTATTTTCCAAATGATCGATAGGAAGGATATGTTTGCTTCTGATTATACAAACCGTATTCATGGAAAAGGCAGATTGAAGAGATGGAAAACTACGTATGTTAATTTACCGATTTAGCTGATAATCGGATTGACATCGACATTGCCTAACTTCAACAAGACTAAAAACTATTTAGCTAGTGGTTTAAAAGTTCTTCATGCAAATCAAAAGCACTGAAGATGTGAGTTCAGCTCCAAATAGATAACCACACAATGGTGGGGCGGTTAGCGCAGTGGTAGTGATGTCCGTCATCACGAACATGGTGCTAGTTCGATTCTCTCCCGGACCAACCAAGTCTCTCATCCCCCCAGGGTCGGGAAATTGGCACTGGACTTGTCTAGGAAAAAATCACTCTCTGCAATCCAGTTGGGAGCGCTCCATCCCGACTATCCCAGGACTCCAGGAGGAATTTCTCGACCAGCATTCTACGATATTCAAGATGAAATGAAAATCCTCAAGCAGCAACCAAAGCCACATGTAAAAACTTGGAAGACCTTGACGATGGATGTTAGGAAATGAATTGGGTGTGAGAAGTGCTGAGATCCACACAGTAGACGTGAACAAGGATCAAATAAAATAAAATAAAAAAATCAACGAAGTGAAATGATGAATGTATTCACTACCTCATTCAGTTGCACATGTTCCACTACACGGTTTCATAGATGAACAATACCTCGAACGCGAAAATGTGAAAATGTTGTTGTCCCATCCATTCGCTGAGAAAATAAAATGAGCTCTCTGTCACTTCTAGCCTGGAATCTCCCAACTTCACTATTTTTTGATACTAAGCAGGCATAATTTTGCTTATGAATGAAACTTGAAGCGAAACTTTGAGCAGTTACATTCACTTCTGATGAGTTGAAGAGCAGCAAGAAGTATTTTAGCACGTGGAAAGATTGTCGATGTGCACCATCTGTCATCTAAGATATCACTTTAAAAAATGTCCAATTCTTAAATATATTTTGAATGGAAGCACACCGTTTTACGTGGGAGTATAAAGGTTTGTGCTTAACAGAACTTCAATGCTATGCAGAAATTAACAGCATCATGAGAACAAGACAAACTTCTGAGCTGAACTCTGTCGAACTAATTCTGCAACTTAAGGAAAAAGAAGACGAAAACCAAAGGAAACTATGAGTTTTAAGGCATTCCTTGTCGTTTTTTTTAATTCATTAACCATTTTAATGCATTTTCGGAATGCATTTTAGGATAAAAGACCTTGGCAAGATTTCTGCTTCCGTTCTTTTTTTCCCAGCGCTAATGGAAACGATCTTTTCTCTAAGTGATTTTGGTGCGAATAACAATAATTGCTTATTCCATAAAATGGTCCGGATAACTTTACAGCATTTGCTAAGTGGATGTTGGACCAAGCTGTTAGTGCCAACGTTTAGTTAACCTCTATGAACATAATAAGCAGGCAATTTTTGCGTAAATCCACACATGCGTGAGCATCGCGCTTATGCACTTGTTCATTGTACGAAATGGATTTGCTGCAGTTGCTTAGGAAATCCATTCCTCAACCTCTCTTCTGTGCAGTTTACGTTAGACTCTTCTTTCTCTAAATCTATGGATAAATGAGTTATGTTAGCTTCACTAAGAAGCATGTTAGAAGGCTTTCCTCTACTACACCTGAAAAATACATAAAACCTCATGCGTTAGCGAATAAAAATGATTATGGAACTCAAAAAATAATTAGAGAATACCTTAGTTCTACTGTTTCCTTAACAACTAAGATGAGCGCATTACTGAAGGTGACACATGCTTTTTCAATGATGGAAGTCACTGCAACTCATAATAATAGGCAATATGAACAGAACGGCCTTTGGTAAATATCAACAATAGAAATCAGCCGTGTGGCTAGATCAAGGGACCACCAAATTTCGCTTCACGAATGAGCTGTGTGCTTCCACAACTTTCAGTCGCACAATGTTATGAGAATGTGCAAGTGCACGGACCGATATTGAAAGCAATCGTCATTCAGATTCAACGTGTATTCATCATTAATCGCTGCGACTTTTGTAAAACAAACTGGAAATCGGTGAGCGAAGACGCCTTCCGCTAATTGTGTAGAGGCCAGATAACAACTGCAAGTGAAACGAGTAGACTGAATACCGTTAGAGTTAATCTGGTTCATAACTGTTATTCCAAACTTAGGTGCGGTAAAGGGAAAACCTCTAAATAAAAACGTCAAACGAAATCATTTTCTTCGATTGAATCGGAATTTAGGACATACAAAATTGAAATCAAAAAAAAGAGATAAATGTTGTAGATAACAATAGACTGCATTCCAATTAGTAAATTCGTAGGGGTAAACTATTGAAATCATTGAGCGAATGTTCAACAAAGTGTGCTTAGGATGTTCCAATCATAGCGCAACGATATCGTGAAAGAAAGAAGATCACTTGAAAGGCGTCTACGAGATACTAGAGTTAAGAGAGTAAGCCTCAAACTTTTAAGCTGCTCTCCTAAAAAACAAAAAAAAGCAGCACACACGAACAACGACTGCACCATGAGACGACACACGTCCTAAATAAGTAAGCAAATGTACAAAAATGTTATAACCTATCAGAGTTTATGTAAAAACTATGGGAAAGTTGAGACATCTATGAAGAGTATCAAACAAGTAAAAGAGTTTCTATAAGAAATCCGAAAATATGATGAAAGGAAAGAAGGTCAAAATCGAACGATCATTATGAATTGCCTCTTCTTTTCTTGGGATTTACTATTACTATAACTCTACAACCATTTTCCTAATCACAGAAAAGTAAAATGCTGACAAATAGGGGCTTTGGCCAAAGCCACAACTATCGAATTATTCAGGATGTTTCAAGCGCCGGCTTAACAGATGATGGCATATGTGCGTATGTCTATGTATATATACATATGTATGTATGTATGTATGTATGTATGTATGCATATCTATGCGAGCATCTCCGTATGCAACTGCGTATATGCATATATATTTACTTACTTGGATACTCGAACGGTCCGTCTTCACGGGCTGTGCCAACCCCAGCACATATGGCATTCGTTCCTTTCTCTCGCAATCGTAGTCCATGGTGGTGGTCTTGTTCGAGCATGATAGCGCTTGCGAGTCTCATACCGTGATATGTAAGACAACTGCAGCTGCGGGTACAGCTGTTTAACTTTGTTTACGAACACGTCCGCCCAATGTGTAGGTGGTCGTCCAAGAGAATGTTTTCATTCTCGTGAAGCCCACTCTGCAGTTTTTTTTCGTCCATCTGCCGTTTGTTCTTCTCATTATGTGACCGGCCCACCTATGCTTCGCTGTCGATGTATATTCTCCTGGAACTCGAAGATGTAACAGATTTCGGAGGTGAGATCTTCGCATTCAGGCTACATATTGAGAGTGCCGGTTATATTTCAGAAAACATCGCTCAAGCGCTCTGTGAGTAGTGCGAAGCATTCTTGACGAGGTTGAAGTATCAACCCACGTCTCTGCAGCATAACAGAGCGCTGGGAGGACCGTTGAATCAAAAAGATGAGCGCGGATTTTCAGGTCCTTCAGTTGGTCGGTTGTTTCTTTGAGAGGCCCGAATGCGGCACAAGCTTCTTTCCTTCTATCTAGATCCTCCTTTATGTTATTTTCCATGATCATTGATCGCCCAAGGTACACGTACAAGGTGGTCTCTGCAATGAGAGAGATATCCAATTCAATTTTTTTGCCTTCGCACCATGGGTTTTTCATGAACTGGGCTTTTTTTCGATTTATGCGAAGTCCGATCTTTTTTCCCGCTTCGTTGAGCTCGTTTACCATCACCTATGCTCTGCTAGTACTTTTTGGAAAGATGACAATGTCGTCGGAAAACCGAAGGTTTGATAAGAATTTTCCATCAACACGTATGCCTTTCTCATCTCAATCGAGTGACTTCATTATCCACTGTAGTGTGGCACTGAGTAGCTTTGGCTATACTGTGTCGCCTTGTCGAACCCCTTTTTCTATGGGTATGGTAAGACGTCGATGGAAAAGCTGTATTTTCGTAGTGCAGTTCCGATAACAGTCGGGTAGAGTTCTTATGTAGGACGGGTACACTCCTTGGTCGACGAGCGCTGATAGGATTGCATTCTTTTCGGCACTGTCAAACGCTTTTTCATAGTCGACAAAGGTTAGGACTATAAGCAAGTGGTATTCCCGACAAACTTCGATGACCCTGGACGCGGTTTGGATGTGGTCCATGCGCAAAATCCTTCTCGAAATCCTGCTTGCTCGACTGGTTGCGCCTCATCCAATGTCCTTGATATGTGCAAGAGGATAATCTTCATAAAGAGCTTGTAGAGTACACTTAACAAGCATATGGGACGATAGTTACGATGCTCTTTTCGGTCTCCCTCCTTGGGCAGGATGACCGTGCGCGACGTCCTCCAAAAATCGGCAGTGACATTGTCTGGTCCTAGAGTTGTGCCTCCTTTCATACTTTTTAGCCCAACTCGAACCTCCGACGGAAGAATTTTAGGCGGTTTTTTTTCCAGCGGGGATATTAGGGCCCAGGACGGGGATTGTGGAACGGAAAAGGTTGGTGTAGGACGTTTCCGCTATTAATTCAATGTCACGGCGGGAAAGTTTTGACGATCCCATCTTCGCTCATCAGGGCTGACAGCGGATCATTATAATCACACAAGCCCCGACGGCATTTTTTCGGACTGCTTCTTTTTTCTGATGCTTCCAGTAGTTTCTTCTACTTGTATCGTTGTAGATCTTTCTGCAAAGCTCTTTTGCAGCTGGCATTTTTTACTACCCGTGTTAAACGTGATGGAGCAGGATCAAGTTTCGGTTTTCTTCTCTTTTCGAACAACTCCTTAGTAGTGATGGAGATATGATCCGATCTTTCTGCTTGAGGAACTGAGACGAATTCGGCATAACTTTTCAGTTCTTCGACAAGCAGCTCGTAGTCTTCGGTTGGGAATTCTTTAGTCTGCCAGTCACGTTTGGACAGGACTTCGTTCAGAATGTTCTCGTCGAATACAGCTAGACCCTTTCCTATGCATATATGTACGTATAACTCGAAAGATCGACTTTTTATGAACCTCGGCATAGATAGTTGATATATTTATTTATGTGATCTTATAAACTGATCTTCTTAAGCTGACGTGAGGTTGGTACAGATCTTCGTTGTCGTTGTCGTTGTTTTTGATGTTATTGAACGATGGCTGACGTTTCGGCGACTTCGCCTTCTTCAGAGCCGT